TTTTCTTATAGCTATCTGATTCCTAGGACTGGCTTTTTATAGAAAAATTTTAACTGTTGATTTCACATTTTAAAATCATTAAATCAAATCTTTCATCATTCAATAACAATAGAACCAATAGTGCAATACTTTTTTGCAGAGAAGGGAAAAAAAACTGAATACAAAAGATAAACAAAATTCACTCATAAAAAGCAGTTTCAACAGTTAACTGCTGGTACTGTAAAGTGATAAGCCTTGCTACCAATACTGAGCTAGGCCAACCCACACCGTGCAGTCTGACTTGAGTCTGTCTCTACAATGTTGATACCCCACATTTTGTACTTTGATACTGTAATCCCTAAAACTTCAAGTGGACTGTTCCAAATTCAAAGCAGGGCAAATCCATTATACAATTCCAGAGGGGAAGGGAACAATAGAAGCAGTAGCACTTTTGAAAGTAAAAGATACTAAATTACTTAACAAGATTTTTAGAAAGTTTAAAGATATTATATAATACTATATATTTGTAGAATATCAAGAAACAAGTTGACTTCTGCTAATCAATATGGGTTATATATAACTCTAGTACCATGTACATAAATGTATGTTTGTATTTTACATCCAAATTCAAACTGAATTTTTTGTCATTCAAAAGGTACATTTAAACATATAAATCTCATCAAAAGACATACATGTACAGTATAATAATAATAGTTTGAACTTCTGTAGTATTGGAATAGAAATTTGGAAAAACTATATCATTCATTTTCAAAAACTAAATTAACCCCTAACCTGCTGAATTTGTGAAATGGACTTGCCCAGCTTTGAATTCAGAATAGTCCATTCCAAGTTCAAGGGATTTCAATATAAAAATACAAACAAGAGCTGTCGGTAGAACAGCATGCTTGACTATTCTCAACACTTAATAATAAATCAAGAGCATAAATCAAGAGCCTTGATAATGTGAGAAAATGGATAATGTAGAATTTTCTAGAACAAAAAGGGCCATAATTGTGTCAAAATCCATGTTTCAGTTCTGGGCTATGGAAAGTGACCTTCTTTTATCCTCTCAAAAAATAAGTTTGGGCAGTTTCAACCCATTTCCTTCACACTTTTTTTCGAGATATCAACTTGCACACAAAAACTTAATGAAAGTGTGACACCTCCTGTCCACACCCAAACAAGTACAAAAGCTCTCCCTATTCTTCAAATAGACTATCCAAAACATTGAGCTACCAACAGTATAGAGCCTGGGTCAGACTTCTGGCATAGCTGTTCACTGGTGGACAAGTCTAATCTCTTTTTGTTCTAGCAAGTTAAGGGTTAAAAGAAATCATAGAATTAATACTATAACAACACACATTCGAATTGTGAAAAATGCACTCTTGATTGCAACTTCTTCATTTCAAAATGAAACATTTTTTTCATTTAATATGCAAGAGAGTGTTTTTAGAGATTTAGCAATATGGCACTCAAAAGTTGGATCAATTTTTAATGATAAATATGTCTATAAAAATGAGCTTTTATGTAAATTTATAACAACATAAAATTAAAATGAGCCGTGTCACGACAAAACCAACATAGTGCATTTGCGACCAGCATGGATCCAGACCAGCCTGCACATCCGCGTAGTGTGATCAGGATCCATGCTGTTCGCTTACAAACCCTATTACAAGTAGAGAAACTGACAGCGAACAGCATGGATCTGGATCAGACTGCGCGGATGCGCAGGCTGGTCTGGATCCATGCTGGTCGCAAATGCATTACGTTGGTTTTGTCATGACGCGGCTCAAACATTGAAATACATGAATGTCATGAAGAGTTGTTTCTTTGTTATTTCTTCAATAATGAGATGAAAAATAATGTTTGTCTTTGAAAATAAAAAAAAATGAACAATTTAAAGTTTGATGACAGTATTGCACATTTTTCATAGCAAATGTTTTCATTTAAACATATATATTACATATATTTCATCAGCACTTTAAACATTTTAATCAACCATTATACACAAGTTTATGATAATGAAAGGAATTGCGAGGTGATATTTTGTAATGGAACAGAATGTTAAAAAATACATGATGGATTTTGGTTTTATTTCCAAGTTGGAACATTAACTTGATGAAGTGGGAGATGTTATTTTTTAGCAGCACTTATGATGGCAAATTCTGAGATAAAATGGCAGATTTAAAATTTGTCCAAAATAATATATAATTATATCAATCATTTTCATTAATTATGACTACCAGAATATGTTATCCAGTAAACAAGCTGTATAGAAACCATCATGCTCCTAACAAAGATGCTACTGAAACTATGTTAACAACAGTATCCATCAACAATTATTACAAAAGAAAGTTAATCTGCTAAAATTTTAATACTTTAACAATTACATTTTAAAGTTAACTTTTCAAAGGTTTTCAATTACTAATGTCATGATCATTTTGAGTTGGTTTGAAAATGGGATAAATGTAAGAAAAACTTCAGATGAAACAATATGTGAAGATGAAACTTAGCAGATCTTTTTTTCTTTTAATTTGTCCTCCTTTGTTAGGTTTTTAGCATTATTTAACTAATGGGAGTCATAAAATGATTTTCTTGATAGAAGGTGTGCCACCCTGTACAATATTTCAGGCAAAAAAAACAAGCATCTAGGTTTAACCTCAGGCTAAAAACAAGCATTTTGGTATAACTTTAGGCTAAACAAGCATCTTTGTATAACCTCAAGCTAAAAGAAACATCTTGGTATAACCTCAGTCTAAAACAAGCATCTTGGTATAACCTCAAGCTAAAACAAGCATGTTGGTATAACCTCAAGCTAAAACAAGCATGTTGGTATAATCTCAAGCTAAAACAAGTATCTTGGTATAACCTCGTTAAAAATCAAGCATTTTGGTATAACCTCAGGCTAAAACAAGCATCTTTGTATAACCTCAAACTAATTAAAGTATCTTGGTATAACCTGGGGCTAAAACAAGCATCTTGGAATAACCTCGGGCTAAAACAAGCATCTTGGTATAACCTCTAGCATAAACAAGCATCTTGGTTTAAGCTGATGAGCACATTGGTAAACCTCAGACAAAGCATGTAGCTTGGTATATCCTGGCTAAAACAGGCACCTTGATATAACCTCAGGCTAAAACAAGCATCCTGGCATAACTTTAGGCTAAAACAAGCATTTTGGTATAAGCTCAGGCTAAAACAAGCATCTTTGCATAATTTCAAGCTAAGACAAAGCATCTTGGTATAACTGGGCTACAAACCGGCATCTTGATATAACTTGGGGCTAAAACAAGCAAATTGGCATAGACACCTTTGGCTAAACAAGCATCTTAGTATAACCTCAAGCATAAAACAAGCATTTTTGGGGTTTAACCTTAGGAAAAAATGAGCACACTGGAAAAAACCTCAAGCAAAACATGCAGCTAACTAAATTTTTGCAAGTCTGTTTCTGTACAAACAGGAATGAAGTCTACATAAAAAAGCAGTATAATGAAAATTTCCTAAACATGTCCGGTTTTAATTTTGGAATTGTTGATCATTAAAGGGACAGATTTTTTAATACCAACATGCTAAAATAAATTTGCTATCCACATATAATGTGGTCAGACTGCACCATTAAGCCAGACTGACATTGCTTTACAACAATGGCATATGCAAGACAAAAAAATACGACAAACAGTTTACAGGGTAAATTTGAAAGCTGTGTAGGACAAGCAAATCTGGATTAGCAACAAGACATGACAGGTATATACCCGTGTAGCTAGAAAACAACATACACATGTAGATAGATTTCAATGAGCAAATATTGAGCATAACAAAGAGTGATAAAAAGTTAAATGCTATCTCTAAAGCAGTATTACATCTAAGACATTTGAAATACACTAAAGGCTTCTACCTCGCCAATATTGCCTGTTTCTTGATCCGGTAAAATTTGTTCACATGACGGCCACAAATACAACTCTGCTGATTTTAACGTGAGACCCAAAGTCTATTAACAAGAAATTTTTGTAATTGTATACAAGTTAGTAAACACATAGCATTGGCTTGCACAAGAATGTCATGACAAAAAAGAATCAGAAGTCATTTGAACGGTCATATACAATTTGCTGTGTTAAGTGCATTGTTTTCATCGTTGTTTTTTTCCCCGTGTCATTATTGTAATAGGCAAAGATTTCACATTGAATTTTATCCACTTTAGAAGCAACAAATAAAATTTAAAAGCTCAAAGTATTTGAGTCAGGAAATGATGGTCAACTACACTAATAGAATTTGGATCTAAGGTAGATTTTATTAATGGTATATTGATTTCTACCTAGAATGACCTTGAACCTCTAACTTACTTTAGCACTTTTCAAGCTACATGTATATAGCGTCCAAATTTTGATCATATAAAGAGTTCTGTTTTTTGAAATAAAAGTTAAAACTACACAATACAATGAATTAATGACCTTAATCTTGTAAAGAACATTAAATTTGCAAATCTTGTATTACTGTAAACTTACTAAAATCTGGAGTTGAGTTCCATTTACTTTCTTAAATAAACGTTCTTTTGTATGTGAAGTTTTTTATCATTGAAAAACAAGAAAAAAAAAAAAAAAACATTTCATTTAACATGAGAAGACAACATAAAAAGATTTAGGAAAACTTTTGAACTGAATGTAAAGAAGTTACAAGAATAAAGAAACTTTTTAACAACTCCCTTAGATGTAAATTTTGAAAAAGTTCTAAAATTTGAACGATGACAATGATAAACAATATCTTGAGGGCATGGGACCAAAGTTTACAGTAAAACATTTCATCAAGAACAAAAATAGATTAACAAGTTACATATTACAACAAACATAAAAAGATAAAAAAAAAAAACATTTCATCTAAAATTACATAACTCAATAATAAACTATTAACAAAAATTTGTAACAAATATAGATTCACAATTTTGTAAAAAAGAAAAAAAAAACAATGAATTTTAATTCACAATTGATGTCCTCTCATTATATGAGAATAAAAACCGTATTTATTACCGCACTGTTTCCCGCAAACGTTACATTTGAACGGATCCGTATGACTATGACAGCCGATGTGAATTGAGAACAGAACTTCATCGTCAAAATTAATTCCACAATATTCACATCTTGACTCGCCACAGACCGAACTATGATGTTCGCTAGCATCTGATTCGCTAACCGACTGAGATCGGAAAGTTGTCCTTGAACTCTGACACTGAGATCGTGAATTTGTGGTAGATGTTGTTGAATTGCTCATAATACATTGCACAGCCCGATCTATGCCCCGAAAACGAGGCCGCCCACAGAAATCATAATAATCTCCATCTAGGTCAATTTCAGATTTTACGATAGGTAAAACACACTGAAATCCTCTAGTTGTATGGTCTGATTTAATGATAGTGTTTGCTGGGAGGGGCGATAACATGCTTGTATCTTGGTTTAATTCATTGCCATTTTCAAGTTCAATATTGACATGAGTAACAGTTCCTGATGAGGCAGCGTGGTCAGAATTACCGCATATTTTACGAGGACTAGTGAGATCTGTGGGAATATCGTTGTGCGGATTCCCTGACAATAAAGTGTCTTCATTATGACTGCGACCTATTGGTAAATGCAATGTTCCAGCTGACCCATTAGCTAACAAATTAATACCTGGATTAACAGCATCAGATGGATTATGGGTATGATTGTCTGTCAAGTTTCTAGTAATATCTGGCATTGTTAAACCTCGGGAGTGAGCCGAGCTCGATATACTGCAGGCATTATCTAGGTCCGCCTCTATCTTAACCTTTACATCTTGATGAAAGTCATTACAATTAGAGTGTGGGCATGAACCATGGTTATTACAAGTGTGTACGTCTTGTATGGGATGACTATTGTCTAAACCGGGTGGTATATAATAATTTGATGATGTCACGGTGCTAGTTGCTGCCTGTCGCGATGATTCTGAATTCATTATGGATGATACAATTGATCGTAAATAATTTGAAGCGAGATTCTCTCCATGCCGATCTCTGTAATTTCCGTAAGGGACACCATACTGGTCAAGAGGAAAATTCATCGCAGGTTGTCTCCCAGTAACAGAATACGGGAAACCAACCCTGTTTGATCTATTGACTAATAACGAATTATCAAATATATGTCCTGTGTAATTGTTTGTATCTGTACTCTCTGGCTGATATCCATGAGATCCGATATAACGTTGAGGGGACACAACATTTCTAGATATGCCTGGAATAACCGAAGACTGCGCTAAATCCGGCATATCCGGGTGAGCCTGCTGGTAGTGATCGCGTAGTTTACGAGAAATTGATGTAACATATGCACACTTAACACATTTCAGTACGTTAACAGGTGATGTTTTATGATGAAGTCTCCGATGACGTCTAAAGTTGGATTTATCGTGTGTAGTGTAGTCACATAATGAGCAACGAAATGTCTTCCCATTTCCTATAATAACATAAACAGTACTAAATTACATGTGCACAGCTCACATCTGTACCATTAATAAACCTAAAAATACCTAATAATATCAAATCAATTATTCTACAAATATTCTTATCATTCTACAAATATTCTTGACTTTTAACTTTTTGAGAACAGAGAATGTATTACTGGTGACATTCAATCACACAAAAAAAATCTTTATTATCTTGACTTTCATGCTGTTGTCGAGGTCATATCCATGGAGGAGATATTGCTGATATTATAGGACTTCTCTCACTTCACTATTTCATTCCCAAATCCATTCATTAACTGGTTAGCTTCCTCAAATAGAAAAATTCAGTACCCCTTAACCCTAGCTGTGGAATTCTGATTATTCCAAGTCTGGCAGTGACTTAAAACAGTTGGCAAAGGACCCTTTGCAAAAAAAACAAAGTCTAATTATAAAGCCAAAATATAATGACTTAAGCAGCTTAAAGATTCTGTGATTTTCTAAACTCAAGCTGTCAAAGGAGTGACACATACCATTAGTGCCTCACCATCTCTATGATACAGGATTATAAATAGGTCTATTTAATATTATTTTAAAAAGTGAACATAAGTGTGACAACAAAATTGGCAGGCGTTTGACCTTGTCCTTCATAACCTTGACATTGAGTTAGCACAGCAACAGAATGTATTTTGCAAATCACCGTGTTCAGGTGACTATAAGATGTTTTGAAGAAAGTCTTTCAAAGGGTATAGGATTTATCAAGTTGGAAGGTAGACAAACCAACCTATAAACTGACCAATGTAACAAAGTGATTTCAGTATTGGTCCCACCGCTTAATGTAGTGCAGAATAATTGTCCTTTTAGCATTGAAACAATCACTTTTATTTAGGAAATAGGGGTGAAGTGATTCTTAGTCAAAGTTTATAAAGAGAAATACAAATGTACTGTAGCTACAAATACTGAAAAAAGCATAGAAAAACAGCATACCACCATGTTTTGCTGAGTGTAACTGGAACTGGTTATAACTACTGGAGGAGTAGTTGCACAGTCTACACTTGTAGTTGTGGGGCAACTGACAAATCTCCGAGTCTGGTGATGATGGATAGATACCACCATTGCCATGACCTAAACAAAAAGAAACAAACTTAATCCCCAGTATTTAAAAAGAAGGCAATAAACCAAAGTGTTTATATTAATAATCGTTAACTTCAGGTCAGTACAGTAATAGATCTTGGTAAGAGAGCAAAGGGTTCATAAGCAAGTACATTTGTAATTGGTCTTAGTCAGTGACCTATAATATTTAATAAAATCTACATAAAATCTAAAAATATCTTGGAAATTTCAACAAGTTACTGGCTGTTACTGTTATAGAAATATAAATGCAAAACTTAAACAAAAATTTTGCAACTGAATTATCTTTATTAAGAGTTTAATGAATGATTAATGAAATATAAATTGTTTGCAAAATGATATTTTGTCAACACCAAGGTGGGTAGGGCAGTCCCATTTGAAATAGTAAAGTTAAAATCACAATAATCTAGTGAATATAGTTAAAATAGAGAGAGATATAGATTCTTACCACCAGGTGGAGTGTTATTTCTGTGCACTGACTGATGTAATTGTGTTGGACTGAGTCTCCTTCTCACACCTGAAATAGAATTACCATTGACATACTGGTACTGTGAATTCATTTAAATTTCTGGATCTGTTATTTCAGGGTTTTGTCACAAAGAACATTTTCATGGGTGAGTACTTAAATTCGTGGATTGTTTATTTTTCAATATGTTAATAATGTGAAGCAAAATAATCAACTGAAATTTGGTTGGATCTTAAATTTGTGTACTGATCTATCCATGAAAATAAAACAAGAAAATTAGTGCCCAACGAATAATAATGATTTTTGCAGTAGTCCTGGTCTGGAAACATTTGTTGCCTTATACTAGGAAGCCATTTATACTAGGAAACCATTCATACTAGGAAACCATTTATATTAGCAAACCATTCATTCTAGGAAACCATTTATACTAGGAAAACATTCATACTAGGAAACCATTTATACTAGGTAACCATTTATACTAGGAAACCATTTATACTAGGAAACCATTCATCATCATATATACTCAATATACGAAATATACTCAGATATAAATTGAAAACCATATTTGTGGTATTAAAAGCCCAATATTAGTTTAAAGAGTTGCAACGTTTTTCAATTTATGGTATTTTTTACAGTTATAATAAATATTTTGGAAAAAAGGGAGTGTGACAATGATCTGAAATTTTGCAAACTAGCTATTGGTTATAGATTTACATCAAATGGAACATAAATCTAAAAAATTTATTTTCAAAAACCCTCAGTGGAGTCCCTTTAATGTTATGGTATAGAGAATCACACTTACTAGAAGACACAAAAGATCTGTCATGTGTCATGTCTATACTTCCATTGTCCGCTGGTGAGAGAACTGTCCTACGTGGTGGTTTGGGCCGCTCTGGAGGTGTCTTGTCTGATATCACCCGCACTCGACTCAAATGATCGTTACTAGCCTCTGAGTTACCTACAAACAAACAAAATATATACACGTACATGTACAAGATCTTAAAACTATATGTATTATGAATTCTAACTATATGTATGATAATGATTTAAAAAAATGTCACAGGTAAAAATGTCAGAACAAGTATTGTACATATGCGAACTGTACTGCTGGCACACTTCATGACTTCAGCTAGTGGAAATTTGGGAGTCATTTACTACTTGACTTAAGCTGTGACTCCCAAAACAACTGTGCTTTTCTTTCTTTACCGCATAGATAGATATAATGTGACTTCCACTGTTAAGAGATTTCGCACTCTCACCTGGACAGCTCAATCAATTGAAATCCTTTATGAAATAACAGACAGTTCCAAATAGGGTTTAGTCCATTATACAACTAATACAAAATGTGTAGCAGAATAATAATTGAATGCTTGAGATTATCAAAAATAATTTTCATAAACATACTGCATGTTGATTAATTCATGGAGAAAAAAATAATTTTAGGTTTTACACAAAAATGAAGTTCCTCTGTTCTACATCATATGAGCCGCGCCATGACAAAACTAACATAATGGGTTTGCGACCAGCATGGATCCAGACCAGCCTATGCATCGGCGCAGTCTTATCAGGATCCATGCTGTTCCCTATCAGTTTCTCTACTTGTTATTGAGTTTGTAAGCGAACAGCATGGATCCTGATCAGACTGCGCGGATGCACAAGCTTGTCTGGATCCATGCTGGTCACAAACCCATTATGTTGGTTTTGTCATGGCGCTGCTCAATTATGTACATGTGTATTGACACTTACGCGAACAGCCGACTTATATCATAAAAAGTATTGTTTTTTACAACAAGAAACCACCAGTAAGTAACACCTGAAAGCTTTTTCCAACAAAGTATATAATTTACCTCCAATTTTATGAAATCCTCATGGTAAGTCTTAGAACACTATATGTATGAAATACGAAACCTTGTAAGTATACAAAACTACTTAAACTGCTGCATTAATTTTTTTCTTCAAGTTATATAAAAATGGAGGTGTTCCTATTGGAAAGGTTATGAAAGTTTGTGCCATTTACTATTATGATCAATGTATTATCATGACCACAATTCTGTTTATTCAAAATCAAAGGATGTGCTAATATGCCCTTCAATGTCCTTGATGAATTAACATGTACATTTATCTAATATAACAAGAAAACCAATTTATTAATCTTATGCTTGCTATGATATGATTTTACAAAACACATTTGTAATGCTGATTTTCATTGGGTAATTATAATGCTTATATCATCTATATACTCAGCCGATGCAAATTTATAAATTGATATCTTTTAATGTAATATAAATGTACATGTAGCTGTTGTGCAGTATTTTAAATTTAATAGTTATAAAGACTTTTGCCTGAAATTATAGTTGTGTATCTATGGTTGTTTGCTTGTTTGCCATATAACCCTTGCCTAACAGCTCAGGTCATAAAAGCCTACAATGGTTTATATTGGACCATATAACCTGTCAAAATCTACTCAATTTTTACTCATCATGAGCACTGAAATTAGTACATTTTAACTAGAGCTGTCATTCATAGAAATTATATCAATTGTTATTTTTCTGTAGATTAACAATTGACAAACATTTTAGAAAATCAATAATTTTGACTTAATATTAAATGAATGTCTAGAAATTATTAAAATTTACACCAAATATATAAGCAGAAGCATATTTCATAGCAGAGATGACAAAAAATGGTCAGCAAAATAATTAAACAATGGGCATTTTTAAACAAGACAGATGTATAAATGCATTTAAAATGGTATGAAAAAGAATTACAGACAAGACAAGTAATTAATACTTTAAGTAAGTAATTATCATTATATATCAGTGCATCATCAATATTTCTCATCTGATATCAATAAATCGTCCATTTGCATAGCACTGAAACAATGACAGCTGTACATTTAACCTGAATCAACCTCATTACGAGTGTTAAAATAATCAAATTCTAACAAAATCCATTCATAGTGAAGATTAATACACGTTTTGTTTGTTTGTTTCATTTTACGCATTTTCCCAACAGTATTTGAGTCATATAGGCGGGTAGTTTCCTAACCATTGTTCCTGGAGAGTTAATACAGGTACAACATCACAGTCAAAATAAAAATCTTTAAAAAAAATCCTACCTGAGGTGTTCCATAAACTCTCCCTTGTATTTGAGCACATAAACCCTTCACTATCAAGCCTGGCAATCTTCTTAGCCACTCCCTCACTGTCTACAATGCTACTAGGTAATGGTCTTTCTACAGATTCATTGATGGCACAACCATGACCTCGTCTTGTCAATGTCGCAAACGATGATGTAGCATTATTAGAAATTCTCTGTCTATTTGGTGTTGTTCTGATGATGTTACTTATAAGATAACTTGTGTTGGCTCGCTTTGATGCTGATGTCGAGATAATATCTGATGGCATGATAGGTGAAAACGAGCTCGAAACTGACTGAATGTTTCCTGCAGTATGTCTTCTTTGCTGCCTATCTTCTATAGTTAAATTTAAAGCTTCATTTGAACCAGTGAAGTGATTATGTCCATTTAATGGTAAAATACCACCTGGATTGCGAGGTCTCGGTAATTGAAGAATATCTAGATTATCAATTATCCTTATACCGTGTTTGAACTCACGGCCAATCATTTTGTCTCTCATTTCTATCTCCCCCATACTACCAGCTCTCTGACGCTCACCAGGTGTCGCTCTTGCTGACGGGGAGGGTTTCGGTGATAGCGGAGCATAAGTTGTTCCACTTACTGATCCTGACCTTAACCTTGGTGTCCCAGGTGTACTGGGGGTGGCCAGCCTTACAAATGATGGACTAGGTGTCACAGACCTTGAGCGACCTAAATAGCGGACACTTATTTCACCTCCATTGTCACAGATCTGATTATCATGCTCTTCAGTCAAACTACGACTCGAGGATCCAACTCTATCAGTTGTGTTATCTGTAGGCAATGGACTGTCATCAACAATTATTTCACTTTCATTATCTGACAGATAGCCCCTATTTGTTTGGTTTGTCAAGTTGTTGTCAGATGAAGACGAGTCTAACACATTTCCATCACAAACATTCTGAGACGAACTAAATTTAGCAGAAGAGCTAGATTTAGCTACGGTAAGGTTTTCAGGAGTTTGTTGAACGCTAGAACTGCTACAGTCACTACACTGTTGGAGATCGCGACCAGTATGATTGCTGGTACCATGCTGGCCATCATTCTGGATGTCCTTATCCCTCTTCTCAGACAACACACTGCTCACAATGTCTGGACATTGTTCACCTGGTCACAGAAAATTTGTTACTTAATTGTATTATATTTACAGAAACACCAACAAAAGATAAATGAAGTTTTCTTTATATAAACTAATAGCTTTTTCAAAACACTTTCAGGTCAAAAAGGCAACGGTTCTGAATTTTATAAATGCTCAGTTTAATGAATGGACTTTTAAATGTTCATATATTTACTGTATTAACTATTATACATGTATAAGACAAAGACAAATAGACTTTTAATACATTTCCAAAATCTGGTTATCAATAAAGTAATGATATTCTATAAATATAAACCTGTGGAGACCACATCGATGACAGTATCAGTAGAGGATGTAGCACTACTGGCAGATACTATCTCCATGTCAGCATTGTTCTCCATAGCTTCTTCTTCTTCATCACCAGACACTATTTCCACATCATCAGCCATTCTCTACAATCTAAATAAGAAAAATCAATCACAACTGTAACATGGCACAATGATTTTTTTTTTGACTGGACATTTTTTTGTTTGTTTGTTTCATTTTACGCCTTTTTCCAACAGTATTTCAGTCATATAGGCGGGTAGTTTCCTAACCATCGTTCCTGGAGAGTTACACCAGTACTAGACTACCTTCCTCCGCGCTAAACTACCAAAGCATCTCCCGGGGATCGAACCCACGCCAGAGAGGTAACTGGATTAGAAGTCATCGACTCTAACCCCTCGACCACGGAAATAAAAATAGCTATCAACTGTGTTAAAATTACTTAAAATATTACAATTAAAATCTTGAAAATTCCAAAAAATGTGAAAATAATTACCCAAAATGTCCATTACAAGGCATACCATGATACTATTGTTTTGAAAAACACCATTCAATAATAATAAATATAATTATTGAAAAAAGATTATGTTTTAATATACCATATTTTATCCTTTCTTCTTCATCTGGAGAATTATAAGCTACCAGAAAATAAATAAGAAACAGTCCTCTCAAATAAACAATTCTACTATAATTCTACTTTTCATAAATGTATACCAATAGCAAACACAATATTTACATATTATATGCTGTATACATGTAGGCCTAGTGAGTATGTTTAGATGGTAACAATATTCAGGGCAGATAGAGCAGTGCCACTTGCCATTGGCAATGAGTCAGACTGGTCATCGTCTACAATTTTCGTTTTAGCGATTTGCCCACAAGTTAGAATGAAAGAAACATTTAATTTTGTAAAATCAGTGTGTTAACTTTACGGAGTTCAATGTATTAATAAAATATTAGATACAAATCTTCACAATAATTTCTAATGATTAGTGCTCCGAAATGTTTTAACAAGCAAGTTTTCTAACATATTCACACCTCTAAGATGTTGGGCATTGTTTATCTTTACTCGCCAAAACACTTCAACAATTATCAACAATTATGTATATGCAAAAATTGATTGGAATCTGTCGCCATTATGTGTAATTTTTGGCTACAGTAGATTTTAGAATTTTATAACTGATTAAGTCCTCTTGCTGCTATTTTTAACATTTTGAACTTTAATTTACCAAATATATTTTCTTCAAAATTTCAAATTCTCTACAAAATCACTCGGATTACTTCTTGGGTTTAGTATTAGGGGTTAGTGCTTTGGGTATGGGTTAAAGTTAGGATTTTAAACCATGGATTTAGCTGCAGACAGATTCTTAAAAGTGCTCCGGATTTATTCATTTACATATTTTTACCTCTTTTTGATAATTTATTTGTATTGTAAGCCACCATTTGCATTCTTTGGTGCTTACCAATGTTTCACTTTATTATATATGCATTTATTTTTATAAAAGCATGAACTAGAGGCATGCTGCTTGAAATTACACTTGAGTTCTAAATTTATTTTCGTTAGATTAAGAACTGTTGCGCTTGAAATCGCTCTTAGAAAAGCCTCAATGCTCAAAATGGAACGTCTTCAGAAAACCCCTACAGATCGTTATAACAGAAATAAACCATGTCTGAGTACCAAAATGAAATCAACATTATCAACAACTTCACAGCATGCACCGATGCAGGTCGTAAAATCAAATCTAATTTGCAAAAGTTTTCAAGACGAACCACAAAAACAACAACGAATGTCTTGAGCATTTGTACTTACGTATTAACTCACCAATGTCAGGGTTTTCATAAGAAATTTTTTAAAAGGGGTCAATTGTTTTTTCATAAGTCAATAAAAATACAAAATGTTTTTAAAAATCCAGGGAAATTTTTTTTCAATTTAAATTTTTATTTTAATTTTATCTCCAATTGAAGAATATTCTCGTACTTCACAGCCTTTTAAAAAAAAAATATAGAAGAAAAAAAATAAATTTTTGGTGAGACAAAACGAGTAAAAAAATTTATTTTTAAATTTAAAATTTATATCAATAAATTTTAGAACTTTAAAAAAATGGGAAAATTTTTAATTTCAACAAATACATAGATTTTATTTAGAAAAGCGTCAACTTTACATAACACAGCCCTGGGACAAAGCACATAATTTTTCTGCTCAAATATCCCAAAAAAATCAGTACTGTAGGTATTTTAGTTCTGCTTTGTCTTGTCATATGACTGTTCATCGATATAGTGAATAAATTATATAGAGCTCTTGAAAAATAAATATCACTATTTCCATATATATCATTAATTGAAGCCGGATAACACACACGAACACTTGGGGTGTGGACCTTAAAACGCCTTCAAAATCCAAATAAAATGTATATTTGTCACCCCAAGTGTCTGTATGATATCATAATCCATAAAGAATTATTCGAGTTTTTGCATGAAAACAAATTAATGCTTTTTTTAGACTGCATATATTTTTACATATGAGTACATACTAATGCGACAATTTCTTTAAATTTGGGATTGATATTTGAAGGAATTTTTTTTTTTAATTTTTTTTTTTCAAAAAAAAAAATGTATGCATTTTAAAAGATGAGAGCAGAATAAAAAATGTACATAAATTATGTTAATTTAAGTGATGGCCTCTTTAAAGACTTCTTTAAATGCTGTGAAAATTCCTTTTTAGGGAACTCCATCTGTGAACATTGCTCGGATCTAGTACGAGTTAACTATCAAGCATTTTTAAATCAAACGTAAACTGTCTTTTTTATTTTAAATCATACATAATCATAGGCCATTTGATTTTATACATCATTCAGTGTAATGTATGGTTTTATATTTATTGAATTCAATATTGCTTCCTAAAACGCTAATTAATTAATTGTATCCCCGATATATTCAAGAGAAAGTAAACTTAATTAATTAGATAATTAGATATTGGCGCAGTCTAAAACGCGGACGCCTTAAGCGGACAATATAAACATATAGGGAAAACGCTGACGATATAGACAAAGAGGAAAAAAGCGGACCGATATAGATATATAGCTGTAAAATGACTGGGCATAGTTAAATTCATATTAAAGGCTAATAATTGGCTTTTTTATAAAGTAATATCTGAAAGGTGTAATTATTATAATAATTAAAAAAGACTTTAGTTTTATTTATTTGTTCAAATTCTTAAATTAGAGCATAGTTAAAATTCATCATATTAAAGGCTAATAATTGGCTTTTATAAAGGTGTAATTATTATAATAATTAAAAAAGACTTTAGTTTATTTATTTGTTCAAATTTAAAGTTACATGCTTTGAATTCATTTCATTGCTTACAAAGTGTTAATTTTGAATTGGATTATTAAATTATTGTGTTCTTTAACTTTTAAAGTGTAATTGTGTATCAAATATTGTATAAAGTGTTTTTCACTAAGGCATTGTTAAAATGGCATTCGTTGTAGGACACAGTCAAGTAAAACATATGAGTGATTATTTGTGTCAACATTCGTACAGTGTGTTTTCCTATCCTGGATATAAAACACGCCAGTTTTGTTTCGAAGAGGACATTTTTGAAGTTGCTCCATATTTTTCGGTAAGTTCATATCAATGATATTCCCCATTGTAATCTTTATCAACCTGAATAAGATATGATTTTTCTTGCACAATCATGTTATGTTCTACCAGACAATAAAACAGTAAGAAATGTATAAATTATATATTTATGTATATACTGATTCCATTTTTTTTTATTTAAATAAAGTGTCCAACGTGTCACTTGTATATTTGATATAATCCTGCACGTGTTTAATTTAATCATACACATGATACTTTATACCATATTTCATCAAGTCGAAATAGAAAACGCGGACAATATAGACATATAGTGAAAAGCGGACGATATAGATATAGAGGGAAAACGCTGACGAAATACATGTATAGAACGGGAGAATAGAAAACTGTTATGAATAAAAAAATATCTGGCTTCTACCATGTATATAATTAATTTACATGTATAATCAATTAACTTTCTGTAATTCATAATATTTTTAGTTTTTATTTATATTTTATCCATTAAGTAAATAAAAGAAACTTTCTGCATAAATACCAATCAACTAATTAAAGTATCCACGTGTCACCTGTGTATTTGACTTAATCACGCCCGACACTTGTATATTTCAAGTAATCATACATCTCACCCTTGTACAATTTATAAAGTGGCTACAGAAAATGCGGACAATATAGACATATAGTGAAAAAGCGGAACGATATAGATATAGAGGGAAAACGCTGACGAAATAAATGTATAGAACGGAAGAATAGAAAACTGTTATGAATAAAAAAAAATATCTGGCTTTCTACCATGTATATAATTAATTTATATCAATTAACTTTCTTTAATTCATAATATTTTTTAGTTTTATTTATATTTTATTCATTAAGTAAATAAAAGAAACTTTCTGCTATAAAATACCAATCAACTAATTAAAGTATCCACGTGTCACCTGTGTATTTGACTTAATCACGCACCGACACTTGTATATTTCAAGTAATCATACATCTCACCCTTGTACAATTAATAAAGTGGCTACAGAAAATGCGGACAATATAGACATATAGTGAAAAAGCGGACGATATAGATATATAGAGGGAAAACGCTGACGAAATAAATGTATAGAACGGGAGAATAGAAAACTGTTATGAATAAAAAAATATCTGGCTTCTACCATGTATATAATTAATTTATATCAATTAAAAAAACGTAAAATAGAGTGTACCGATGAACTGAGCTATAAATTACCAAAGTTGGAAAACGATTTATCTGTAATCAAAGAAGAAAGTGAAATTAACAATTATGAAATAAGAGACGATAGCACCGAATCAATAGAACAACATATTGAATACTGGGACAGAGATTTGGGCTTCACGGAAAATGACATAATTGACTTAAAAAATAATAAGAAACTGAATTCAAACATATGGAGGCTGTAAATATAATGTTGCGACAACAAACTATGGGCGAAAATAGGTGGGTTGCAGCTAACCGAGAAAGTGCCCGCTTTTAAATGAACTAGAAAAAAGATGGTGTTGTAAATTTCCACTCGAACCTACACAGTCACCGGCCTGCCAAATACACCACAATCATCATGACCACTGGTAGCATCGTTTAATATAGATAATCAAATTCATTTAATGGACAGTTTAGGCAATGATAGACCAAATGACAGAATAATACCAAACGGCTTGAAAATTCAATTATCCCAGCTTTATGGATCAAATAAATCATCAATAGCAGTTAATGTACCAAATGTTATCAAACAAAATAATAGTGTAGATTGTGGATTGTATGCAATTGCTTTTATTACTTCTTTTTGTTTACGTAAACGTCTTTGTACAGATCTTATTTACGATTCCAATAAAATCCGTGCAATTTTTAATTAAAAAAAATATTAATTTAATTATAGAACTTTATTATTTTAAAACAATACTTATTATAAATTAAATGTAATATATTTTTGGACAGCATTTTTTCCGCTTTGTATATATTGCCATCGTTTTTCCTATAAACGTTTAACACATTGTCTATTTAATATTGTTGTCTTAAGTAAGGGATTTTGTTAAAATATGTGATTGTTATATTCTTTATAGCTATATACATATATTGAGTTGTTACATTGATATCATTATTTGTATGTGTAAAATAAATTCATGTACCGAATGTGTTATATTGCTTAAATAAAATTGCAATGAAGTTCATTCTTTATCTTCGTTTTTATTACTGCACAATATTACTATACATTATCATTATCTATTTTATTATAATTTTATCTCACACATCATTCTACGCCACTATATCTATATAGCGCCCGCTTTTTTCCTCTATATCTATATCGTCCGCTTTTTTCTCTATATATTTATATTGTCCGCAAAAATAGGGCAAAGAGCGGACAGGTTCAATCAGGAAGCATGTTGTTGACACTTAATTGTCGTTAATTTGCAACACGTGTCCGTCACAAGAGTATACGTCTACTCTAAATTTCTATATCGTCCGCTTTTTTCCTCTATATCTATATCGTCAGCGTTTTCCCTATATATCTATATTGTCCGCAAAATGCGTATCATGTTATCTCTAGCTAAGTGCCGACACGATTAATCAACAACAACAACAACAACATAAACTTTATTTAGCTCAAGCAATGATTACAAGCATGTGAGCATACAGCGAATAATACATTTGAACAAAAATACCTTGTGAGGTCACGTGACAGATTGTTTGCTTAACGGGGTTGACAATAGTGATAGTGTGTTACTCCATTTATTTTTTTGAAAAGGACTATAAATTCTTGTCTGGGAATGTTCCATTTACAGATATTGGATGGCTGAAACTAATTTAATAATCTACGCTTTTTAATAGTTATGTGAATTTTGAACATTATTAACACCATTTTATATTGTTTTTAAAAGAAACAGAGTTTATTCGTATTGTATTTGTGCAGCCTGAATTAAATCGCTGCATCGAAACTGCGCTATATACCAAAAGGTAGTGTAATCGTCCGCTGTGTAAAGCCTTACCGGGTAACTTCGCGTAAAATGTGTTAAGTAAGATAAATTAATTAATAGACGATTATCAACGAATGATTAGTTTAAATATTCGAAAAGATGGATATAAAATGTTTCGAAGCATCTGGAAGTATTCACAATTTGATCAAAAAAGGTATCAGTTTAGCAAATTTAGCAGAAGACTGAGAAATGTCATAACCTGATAATGTCACGTGTCTTCACAGAAGTAGAACATGTAAACATCAATTAAATAAGAATTTGCATAGTTATTGTATACTCGTGGAAAAGGATTAATTTGATTGTATACAACTGATAAACTACATCTATATTGACAGGTGTATTTTAATGTTATAAAAAAAAGCATGACCTATATTCAACATAAGAAAATAAAGTGTGCTAGATCTAATGAAACAAAAAACAAAACAAAACCTGACCTATATTCACATGAGGAAAAAAGTGTAAACTAGAACTAGAGAAGTCAAGGAAAAAAAGCTTGACTATGAAAAATAGAATAGAAAATGACCATATGAGTTAATCTGTATCAATGAAGTGACAGTTTGTATTAATTACAAAAAAAGAATTAGAGAAAAGGATTATAATATTTGTATGTAAAAACTGTAGCAGTGACAAGGAAAAGCAAATGGAAAAAAGAAAACATTAATACAGTAATGGTGTACAGATCCTATGACAATATTACCATTTTTACAGAGAAAATATTCATGTGATTCCTTACTGTTTAACCGTTTCTAAAATAATTTTAATAAATGTACATAGCTTTTTTGACTGCGTATTAAGTAGCTCTTTAAATTTAAGAGTGTTACATCTTCTTAAATAATAAGGTTTTAATGTATAATTTTCTAGTCTGATTAAAAAAGGGACAGGTCAATAAATAGTGAAACTCATCTCCTATTTCTGGGGTACTATTCTCATTTAAACAAAGTTGACATATTCTTTCATTATAGTCTATATTTTGCCACCTTCCAGTTTCACATGGGAAGTAATGATTGCCGCATCTAAATTTAATTAAAGACAGCCAGTCAGACTTTTTTTGATTAAGTAAATAGCCCTCGAGGTCAATTGACTCTTTGAAAATTGAATAATTTAGTCCTTTAGTTGAGACTTGCATAGAGGCATGCCAGTTTTGATAATGCTGGTCTAATAATATTTGTTTTACTGTTTTTCCCAAATTTTTACTTTGGAGGTTATTTTGATTAATCCAAATATCATTTCGCCCTATTTCATTAAAAATGTTTTTTATTCCTTTTATCCATTTTGATTCAAAATTTGGCATTTCAAGCATATATTTATATATCTGATATGATAGTTTATTTTGTTTTCCAGTAACTAGTGTATTCCAGTAATTAATCATTCTAGTCTTTATGTTGATATTCAAGGGGTACCTGCCAAGTTCGGCATATAACATATATAGTGGTGTTGAACGTCTTAAGTGAGTTAGTTTTCTCAGTAGCGTGTTGTTCACACTTATATAATTACCGTTAATTTGCAGCACGCTTCTGCTTATATTGTATCAATAAAAAACAACAGCCTGTCATTACTTATTTATGATTAAAAATTACTCTTACAAACTTTTGATTTTGAATATCAAGGCTTTTTTTTATTTTGCGAACAAAAATTTTGTCCGCCTACTGCACATAAAGACATACAAAAACAATGCCAAAATGAAATACATATCCTTAATTACATATCAGCTGTTGCCAATTTAGTACCATCATTGTAATTCTAAAGACATTCATTTGATCCATTTGTTTCATATATTAGTTTTCCATATTTAGAAATTCCGAAAATGTGTCATATAAATATAATATAAAATTCATTGACATTCAAATCATAAATTACTTTAATATTCTCTCCAATTTGCTAATTTATTATATTTTTTTATATATTAAAGTATAAATCCAATTACACGTCATTTTTATAAACTTCATCAATGCCCAAAATCATCACCAATTAGTCTACACTATATATCTATATCGTCCGCTTTTTTCCTCTTTGTCTATATTGTCAGCGTTTTCCCTATATGTTTATATTGTCCGCTTAAGGCGTCCGCGTTTTAGACAGGCCCTTAGATAGGTATCCGTATCAATGCACTGACAAATTGGGAAGATGCCTAGCATAATATTATTTTCTTTAACGAGCTCAATAAATTAAGTTATGAACTTGAAACACGAATTTAAGATTTAATATTTTATTTAGATCACATACTAGTTCATACTTAGCAATCTCTTACGGAGTGATCTCCCCTTATCTGTACAGAGATCTGCCAAGGGAAGTAATCCCTGTGAGAGAAGTTTGCATACTTAGTCCCAGATTGATACGAATGTAATTTGTAAATGTTCATCTTTTAGGTTAAGACAATAACATTTTAAGTATTTACACACAGGTAAAATACTCATTTTAGAGTAAATAATCACCATGTTTTTCGCAATTTTAGGCATGGATATGAGATCGCACGTAAAGAACAGTTACGTCCCTTTTTAAACTTCACGACTTTTACAACAGCTAAACCCATTAATTATTTATAGTGGTAAATAACAAGGTAAATATATAAAATCGAGTAACTAATATAGTTTAATAATGGGATATCTGCTTATTTAGATAAACATTTGACTTTTAAAGTTCCATTTATTGCCACTTAAAGGAAATATTCCTTGATTCAATGATAATTATAATGATAGTGTCTTTTACCTTTTCAGATGAACAGTTCAACAAAGAATTACATGTGCGGATTTAATGGATTTAAACAGATTAACCATTGTAAGAAAGAGATGCAGTCCAATGCAGTCAAGAATTTTGTAGAGGACGATAATTTTTTCTCAATTCCACAAGAAGTTAGCACACATATGAAGCTGTGCACATGGTCAAATTTCTGGGGAATGACTGGTACACACATTAATAAAATTTAAATTATAATCATTCTTCTGTAAATGGAAATTGAATTAAAACATGTCACATCTTGGTTTTGTTATCATTACAGTTAAATTTAATGCACATGACTAGCAGGATATAATAGAAAACATACAATTTCTGAATGCATAGATTACATGTATGTCAAATTACTTACTGGAATACATGTATCAACATACACGTTTTTGAACATTTTGTTTCAGTTGCCTTATATGGCCTTTATATCAGCCATTGAATTGTTTTTCTTTAATTATAGATGTCTTTTGTGTTGATTACTCTTTACTTAATTTGTGAATTCTTCTTTTAAATTTGTTAGACATATGTGGATGTTAATTGTTTATTGATTGATTGATTGATTGATTGATTGATTGATTGATGGGTGGGTGGGATCATTGTGGGTTGGTTGGTTTCTTGCTTGATTGATTGATTCTTTATTTTCATAATTGTTATTTTTTACTATTTAATAGTGAATAATATAATGTAAAGAAATAATATTGATTTTTCAGATGTTTTGGAAATAAGTAAGCCTGATTGATTTGCCATTTATTTAGAAATGTTAAACATGCATGTGCTACATGATGTGCAGGGTAGTAGATGTAAAGAAGTTTACTTTAGTGTCATATTTTATTCTCTTTGTTTATTTCACAGATGACAAGCTGACATGTTATGGGTACAATAGCTCACAGTTAACTACAAATCTCCAATTTAACAGAAAGGAAAAATTATCAAAGATGTCAATGATAGCTGTAGGAAAATATGTACTCATACATGATAACTGTCATACCTTAGTAATAAAAGATGATGCGAAAATATGTGAGTTGACATTAGATAAAAACTTTGTAACCCTTGTGGATGGAACAAAAGATCATGTGTATGGGATTAAAGGTGAGATTTTATAGGACGTGCGAAATGGCTGTCTTGTATTGTCTTAATTTTTTTCTTGTTGGAAGAGATAAGTGTATGCTTGATATTTTCATTGTATGGCCATCCTTAATAATATATATGTTTGCTATTGCCGACCCAGAGTTATAAGGAGTGGGTCGGTAGGTAGGCTTTTTTTTTTTTTTTTGATATATAATTTTTACTGAACGTAAGTTAATATGCTTAGTACGTTGTAACAGATTGTGGAAATTTAGGCTACACTATCATCATCGGCAAAACTAACATGTCAAAGACAGTCAAAAACAATAAAAAACATGTTCACTAGTAATCATAACATGAAATAAAAAAAATGACTATGTAGACATAAATTCAAGCATGGTCAAATTACCGATGTGATACACTAATCCTGCGTAAATTTCCCGTACGAACTGGAAAAATTATAGTGGATCACCAGGACATTTCGTTCTCACGGATGCATGATCATTATTATCATTAATTTCATTGTTAGTTACCGAAAATTATCGCAGATTGTTGAAATTCCATAGCGCTAAAAGACACAAAAACACTCTCGCAAAAAGTGGCATCCATAAATAAAAGGAATATAATGTGTGTGTGTGTGTGTTTGGTTTGTTTACCCTCGCCACCGGAATGAACCATATGGGCGAGCACATACTTCATTTAAAACTTGCTTAATTTATATGGAAACTAATTTAATTTGTCTACAGTTTTATCGGTACATGTGTTTACGTGTGTGCCATAATTCCTACCACAAGTTCGTATAAAAGTACGTAACCCATGATAGGAATAAGATGGGATTGCTCCCATACTAAGTTAAAATGACGTGTATTTAAAAAAAAATGAACAGCATATTTAAATTACCTAAGGTTAAAAGGGCCGAGACGTTTATAGAAAGCACCGTCTCTTATAACAGGTCAACTATTATAATATTCTATGATTAAAATGATAGAAAGAAAGTCTTGTTAAAGCAATGTCAGGAACGCATTTTCCCAATTCAATGTGGCTAGTCATTAAAGGCCTAATTTGATCAGATACATACACAAAGGAGTGTCAGAATATTAAAAAACAAGTTTGTTTTAGTGTGGAAAAGATAGATTTTAATAATTTTCTAGTATATTTCACCCGAACACCTGCTTAGTTAAAGATGTTCTTATTGGTCTAAAAGTGATTGCCTCGTTTGTTCTCATTGGCCGAAATTTCTTTGTTTACAAAATAAGGAGGTCAATCCGATTTTGTGATATTTTGCAAATTTTCTTAATTTTCGGATTGACCTATATCGACAAGTTTGTCGCGCGAACGTGATAGAGATTTAGCAGGTGCCCTTAACACTCCATTGTATAGTATCTGTACAACTATTAATAAATAAGAATAAAACAACAAAAAACTTGTAAAATAGCAATTGTTTTAAATCAATGGTCTAATCTAGATTAGAAAATTCCCAAAATATGGCTATAAGTAATATCTTTGTTACCCTTAATGTGATGAAGTGACCTTTTTTAACAAATATAAGGCCACTTCATACTTGAGTGTATGCGTATAACTTATGCTCCATATGGGGGAACACATACACTTTTATGTTTTATATACAGGACAAAGAGAAGAAGTAAAAATAAACACAGGGCGGGGGAGTAAGGATATTTACACTATATGGAGTCTTTTAACATTAAGGGTAACGGTAGCCTTCCTTCCCAATTTTGTTCGACCACTTGATTTACATTTTAAAACAATATCTGGCATGTAGACCCAATTAAGATAAATTGATTAAAATTTATAATATCACATTGTACTTCCGTTTCACGGCCACTTCCTAGGGCCACAGTTAAAATATATAAATATTAAGACTATGTAATATACATATTTACAATTAAAAGTATAAGTCTGCATGCCTAGACAACATTTAAAACTAAAAGAGTTAAGTGTAGATTTGCAACACCGTCCGCGTCCGTCCGCGAAATGAGGATTCGAAAAACAACTTGGTTAATAAGTAAATATTATCTCAATTATAGCAGTAATAGAAATTCTACTGGCAACCTCGCAGGATATTGTATACCACATTTTACCCAGTGAGTCTAACCATCTCACTGAAAGTAAAACTCCCTCCCGATAAAGGCGAAGGATAGATGTTAACCAGCAGAAAAACTAAATACTTAGTAGATAGAGAACAATATCATTAAAGGTTATAAATGTCCAAAATGACAAATACGTGCATCCATTACAACCTATACAAATTAATAGTTATTTAATTACATAAATTAGTTACATTCCTCCTGCCACCCCCGGATAGACGACCTGGATCTTTTGTTTAATTATATGGCAAGCCGAAATCAGAACCGGACCAACGTACCAACGTACCAACAACGACATGAGAGGTCATTTATTAATTTAGAAAAACGAAAAAGTTCCGAATATCATTAACTAAAACTCGAAAAAATCATTTGAGCCGTGTCACGACAAAGCCAACACAATGGGTCCGCGACAAGCACGGTCGCAAACCCACCATGTTGGTCCCGTCACGACACGGCTCATTATACATTTTATTAAATACTGTGTTTTGATTGGTTACCAGCCAACATGTGTGCGCAGTCATATATGAGATTTAGAGGAATTAGACTGCATGTACACCTTTTTATAAACGTATTTTTTTAAACTATAAAGATCTATTTCTGAACATTTGTGATAACTTTTTCGTTAAATAGGTATACCAGACATTATAGAAAGGAATATAATGTTTCCATTGTTAAATATAAATACAAAATTTACACACGAAATGACCTCTGACATATGACTGGTCGGCTCTTCTGAAGAATCTGTGAATCTTTGATGTTTACACACCTGTAGTTGTTGCCGAATCATCAAAGAAATGCCGACACTCAATCGACTTCCACCTCTTTTTTATATATCAGAAAAAAAAAACTGTCATTTCTTTTTGTCAAGGAATGATTACACATGTTTAATTATTGCTCAAGTAAAAAATGTTGGATATTTATCGTGTCAATTATTGACATATTATTAATCGTAAGTGCATTTTGACATGGAGTTTAATTAGACGTATGTAAATCTGTGATTTTGATTGTGATATTTTATTTACATTTTTATGATCTTGAAGATATTTTGCAATACTTGTGTCTGCTATCAAAACAATAATGCATATGAAATGACCACAGCTTCCAAAAAATTATTTTTTCGGTAAATTTTATGACAGAATCCCCGCTGCTACCAGAAATGTTTTACTGCATGGGCTATAAGTATTTATCTGTGTCGGCAGTCATAAATAAACGAACATGTACTCCAAAGCACATTAAAATTACCACATGGTAAACTAGTGACCATATAAATGCTTTACAAATATTCATTAACTGCACAAACATTATTTTTAATCCCTTTTCCACACCTTAATTTGATACTGTCTATTATTAGTTAATTCGACTTAATTGCCGCGCGCATGCAGTACTGCGTGACGTAAGGAAAATATCCTTCCCTGGTTGGTATGTGCGTGAAGTTAGCCGGACAGCCGGAACAGCCGGAGCAGCCGGAACTCATTTTCGTCTACTCCGGCTGTTCTGGCTACTTCGGCTAGCCGGAATTCGGTTCCGGCTCTACAAGCTGGCCAGAGATTATACGGTAAAACCTGTGCAAAAGACCATTGGTTAATTCCATAATGTAACGTCTAATTACTTATCACAACGATCTCCGGCTATTACGGCTAGCCAGAAAAACAGAAATCAATGCTACATAAGATGAAAAAAAAAATTCCAACAGCAGATTGAAGAATATAATTATGTGCCATGCATTGTGTGGCCGGGTGTCCGCGGGTATAGGTGTGTCCGTCGGGAATACTCTGGTATTTTGCCGACGGTGAGCCGAAAATCGTTCTAGACAGCTCGTATCTGGCCAATTCCGGCTGGCCCCTGTGGGGACCAAACTCAATTACGCAGAACCGCACACGGTGGGATGGTTAGGTGGTCTGACTGGGTGTCCGCGGGTATAGGTGTGTCCGTCGGGAATACTCTGGTATTTTGCCGACGGTGAGCCGAAAATCGTTCTAGACAGCTCGTATCTGGCCAATTCCGGCTGGCCCCTGTGGGGACCAGACTCAATTAAGCATAACCGCACAAGGTGGGATGGTTAGGTGGTCTGACTGGGTGTCCGCGGGTATAGGTGTGTCCGTCGGGAATACTCTGGTATTTTGCCGACGGTGAGCCGAAAATTGTTCTAGACAGCTCGTATCTGGCCAATTTCCGGCTGGCCCCTGTGGGGACCAGACTCAATTACGCAGAACCGCACACGGTGGGATGGTTAGGTGGTCTGACTGGGTGTCCGCGGGTAATAGGTGTGTCCGTCCGAATACTCTGGTATTTTGCCGACGGTGAGCCGAAAATCGTTCTAGACAGCTCGTATATGGCCAATTCCGGCTGGCCCCTGTGGGGACCAGACTCAATTACGCAGAACCGCACACGGTGGGATGGTTAGGTGGTCTGACTGGGTGTCCGCGGGTATAGGTGTGTCCGTCAGGAATACTCTGGTATTTTTGCCGACGGTGAGCCGAAAATCGTTCTAGACAGCTCGTATCTGGCCAATTCCGGCTGGCCCCTGTGGGGACCAGACTCAATTACGCAGAACCGCACAAGGTGGGATGGTTAGGTGGTCTGACTGGGTGTCCGCGGGTATAGGTGTGTCCGTCGGGAATACTCTGGTATTTTGCCGACGGTGAGCCGAAAATCGTTCTAGACAGCTCGTATCTGGCCAATTCCGGCTGGCCCCTGTGGGGACCAGACTCAATTACGCAGAACCGCACACGGTGGGATGGTTAGGTGGTCTGACTGGGTGTCCGCGGGTATAGGTGTGTCCGTCGGAATACTCTGGTATTTTGCCGACGGTGAGCCGAAAATCGTTCTAGACAGCTCGTATCTGGCCAATTCCGGCTGGTCCCTGTGGGGACCAGACTCAATTACGCAGAACCGCACACGGTGGGATGGTTAGGTGGT